TACATTAGGAGGTCTTTATATATATTTTTTTATTTACGGAGTTTTACCAAGTCATGTGAAAAAATATACAAGTAGTTCTTAAATATAAAAGATAAGGTAATAAGTATTCTTAGACTAAATATGGAAAAGCAAATGTACCATATAGTCATACAACAGGATGGAAATACTGTTCCATTCTCCCAGAATTTTGGCAGAGGCACCACAAGACTAGAAAATAATATAAGCGACTCCAGAACACCCGTGCAGGATAAGCTAAGGGATGGTACCTTCTGCGCTGAAACTATGTGCCCCTCTACACCTGCCCTCATTCTTCTCTGCCCCACTCTACCCCAGGGGCTGACATCAGAGATGTCTCTCCTGGTGGGTTCCACCAATGGCAAGCTCGGCAGGAGGAGCAGAGGGGAGAGGAGGTTGCGGCCTTTATTCTTTCACTCCCTCCCTGACACTAAGTGTGCCCCTTGATTGAAGGTCACTGCTTCTCTGAAGGTGGGAAGTTCTACATGACTGTACTCCCACGTTCCGGTCACTGCTTCCTCTCTTAGTCCCCTTGGACCTAAGAATGGTAACAGTTCTGCTGTTTCTAGCCTTGGGTAATTGCACTGTTCCTTGTACCCTTGCAAATAGTCCCTTGAAAAACAAAATTTCCTCTAGTTATCCTATTTTGAGTTTATCATCTGATACCAATTTGGACTATGATTGAGACCCCAAACGTATAGACATATAAGAGGTGGGAAATAATGAACGCAAAGGTGACATCAGAAAGCAAAGATTTCTTTTGGATAGTGTCGGACTGCTGTGGCATTTCCTTTCTTCTCTCCTTAGACAAGGGGACTGGTCCCTGTCTCATGTCTGGAAAGATGTAAAGAAGAAATATCATGGGTGGCCGACTGCCCTGCACTTTTAGAGTTTGGAGAAGCAAAGATGCTTGTGTGTTTCTCATGGACTTCAAAGGAGAGGTACCTTGAGAGGATTACTTGAAAGGGTAAAGGGATTTCGAGGAAGGGGCCTGAAGGCTGTAAGGTGGTGACAGGAAGAGGAGGCATCACCCATCCCAGGAAGCTGTAGTCCGAGGTTACAGATGAGAGGGGAAAGGGAGTCTTCAAGGAACCCACAAAAGCACCCCATGAAAGCAAGGGCCAGCAATTGTTCATTTCTACACAGCAGACCTTGATGCCATATTATAGCTCTAATGATCATATCAAGCTTTGCTGCCATATTATCTCTGCTTCCTTCCCCTTACACTGTACCCTGGAGAGGCCCAAAACAGTAGCTTACAATGACTCAAAGAGGGAATAGAATAAGAAAAGAGATAAAATTGACCATCCCACTTTCCTAGCTGCAGCTCTTCAAAGCAAGTCTGACCTGGAAGGGGTATATGAGTTTTTCTGGAGTTTGCCTTACCCAAAGTGATCGGTGGTATGGAAGAATAAATCTATGTAGCAAAACAAAGGAATTGTCATGAAGTGTGCATTTAGCTTGCACAACACTGGGTCTATCTCATTCAATAAATGTATTGCAGCTGAGTATTTAATAATGTCCAACAACATTTGGAAGAAAAATGCTGCCTTACATTTTCACATTTTGTACTTTGTGTCATCTTCACATAATGGGGCAGGAAACTGTGATATAAGGTTGGGTTTTTTCTTTTATCCCTAACTGAGAACCTCAGTTTTATCAAATTAAACACAGCAGATGGAATTTGAGGTGGGAGAGAACATTTTTGAAAGCAGAAACATTAGAAGGCTTTTAAAAAAAGGCTCCATTGTACTCTAGGGAGGCAGCCTTCCTGGAACATCAACCTCTCTGCTCCTAATCCATTACATGGTGCTTCCCGTTGATCCTACTGTGGGAATCCTTCCCACTGGAATGATGCAAAACTGGCCACTAGGCCAAAATGGTCAATGTGGAAAATGGCCACATAGACCACAGAGAAAGGTGGACTAGCAGGACAGGAAGATGAAAAGAAAACCTGTCTGGGTGACCCTAACTCTATCTCAAGAAAAATCTCTTTAAAAGCTAGGGTCCCCAGCGCTTCTATTGAGGAAAAATGACAAGCCAGAAAATACAGCTCAAGAAGATGCATGAAGTTTCATACACCAATTCATCAGGTTTCACACATTGACATGATGAGCAAACACTGACTCCCTGATAGGTCAATGCTATATGCAAAGACCAAAACACAAGGGCCTAAAAAGAGTCATGGATTAGCATACCTGAGCAGAGAGGGGAACCTCCTTGTCAGCATCTAATGCTACCGAAGAATATGCAGAGACAAAAACAATTTTGTCTTTTTCTGTTTATGTGAATTTGTGGATACTCTAGCCCTGAACGTCAGTGGTCTCTTTCCTCCAGAGCCTTGTTCAATCACAGCAGGGTTTCTTATCCTTGGCACCAATGACGTTTTGGTCAGATCATTCTTTCTTGTGAGGGCTGACCTGTGCATTGTAGGATGTTTAGCATCATTCCTGGCCTCCACCCACTCAATGCCAGTCATACCCCACTGCCCAATCCCCAGCTGTGAGAATCAAAAATAATCCCAGACATTGCCAAATCATCCCTTGCTGAGAACCACCAGATTAGAAGTCTTAGTAATATATTTACGATGTAATAGCACAATTCTATGTTCATGTATTTTTTAAATATTGGTTTTATGTAAGGTTTGGATTTGTCTGTTTCCCAGTCTTTTCTCCAAGCGATCACTCTTACCGATCTCTAATTTGAAGAAAGCCTGTGATAAAGGTCGCACATCCTCAACAGGCAACTTGTAGACCATCAGGGAAGAATACCTGCCAAGGGAAGGGAGTGAGGCTGAACAGTGAGTTTCTAGGTCTCAGCCCCTGTTGAGTGCATGTCTAAAAAGGAGCAACAACCTCATCAATAATTTGTTTAAAGAGACACCTAGAGTGCAGAGGTTCTTTGATCAACAAGAAGTCAATCTGCTAAGAGGAGGATTAGAAGACAAAGGGAAGAAAATCAACAGCACCTACTCCCTAAGAAGGGAAGAAGCAAGACTACTCATCCTTCTTCTCAGTGAGAAGAGAATAGAATTTAGGTAAAAGAACTAGGCTCAATTCCTATTTCCCCCACTCTGAGCCTCGGATGCCCTTACTGATAATAAAAATGCTAAGAGATACTCTTTACCAAGTTTTGACTGATGCCTGGTACTCTGGCATGGGCTCTCTACAGGTGATCTCCTTTAATGGGGGATGGATTTACCTTCTAAAAAGGACCCCTGAGATGACCTAAGTACATGCATACTTCAGTATCTGGCAAATAAAGCCCCTCTGAATGCTAATTCCCGTACAAGAGTCAGCTTCCAAATCAGCACTCTGTTCTCTTATTTCTCTCCTGTGGTAGCCATTGGAATTGATTTTTCTCTAATAATTAAAGTATTCACAATTACCAAAGAGTTACACACACAAAAAAAAAAAGAATGAGAAGATAAAGCTTTTATTTCATCACCATTAAAGAAACACAAACCAAAGACCGAGATAAAACAAAATGGCACCTGTGTTTACCTTTCCTGCCGAGCGGCCTGTGGGAAAAGCCTCAGGATCTCTGCGTGGAGGGGCTCCACTTGTGCGGGGGTCTTCACTTTCATCACCAGCAGATAATCTTTGCCAAATTTGCTTTTCAGGTGTTGGATGGAACCGATGCATCTGGAGGTCGGAGGAGGATGAGGTCACATAAGATAAGGTGGAAATCTGTGGCTGGTGATGCTCAGTCTCTGAGGCCAGGCAAGGGCCATGTAGAGTCGGCAGCAGCCTCCCCAGCTTCCCGCAGTGGGTGGCCTTGTGCAGGGAAGTGTCCTTCGTTCAGAGCACACAACCTGTGGTCGAGTGCGGGCTTGGGCTGATACTCACCTCAGCCTCCCAGACACCATGATGGCCACTCGGTCACACACGGCCTCGGCCTCTGCCATGTAGTGGGTGGTCAGAAGGGCGCCCCTCTCCGTGTTTCTAAAGGTGGCCCGGATTGCCTGCCTAGAGTTAGGTCGAGGGAAAATGTTAATTGATGGGAATGCTCAAGATATTGTGGAATTTTAAAAAAGAAGTTTCCATTGACACATATATGAAATAAGTAGTGAATTCAGATTAGACAAAGAAAGGATTTTTGTAGGGATAACAGGCATGGAAATAACCAAGCTATTGGTTAGAGTATATAATTCAGAACATGGCTTGGGATGAACATAGAGAATGATACTGGGTAAAAGTTTGTTTAGAAAATGCCAAGTTCAGGAATATTTAGGAGAAGGCAGTGGGAAAAAAGACAGAAAATGAGAACTTACTAAAACGCATGATAATCACAACATATACCCAAAAGATACCAAATGACAGAATACAGAAAGACTTGAAATGTTTCTTTTTATCTGTTGTAAGAATTGTGTATCAGGTAATGTTGCAGAAAGATTTAAATCTTAATAATAGACTGACTTGACTGAGTATAAAAATGTTCCATGCATACCTAGAAGATCTAAGAAAAAACAAAATTCTTAGAGTGGATATTAGGTTGAGAGACTATATCTTTTTCTCCTCAGTAAAAACTCGTTGTAATACGAAATCAGATAATTTTTCTCTTAATATTGCTTTTCCTGGTAATGTGGAGGTCTTTCACTTTCCAAGTAAAGGGTGACCTCGAAGGCCAGGAGGTCACAGGATCAACACATTCATGTAGAAGTTACTCGTGATATCTTCTCACCACAGTTGCTGCTGCCCCTCGGGGTCCATCCCGGTCGACGGCTCGTCCAGAAGCACCACTGACGGGTTCCCCAGGATGCTCAGCGCAAAGCACAGCTGGAACAGCAGGAAGAGCCTGTCTGGCACCCATCAGTGGCGTGCACAGAGTAACCCTGAGTCCTGCCCATACCTTTCTCTTTATTCCCTCCGATAAGGTCTCCACGGGAGCCTTCAGTTGTTCCTGTAGCTTGAGCGCATCCACCAACCTGAAGGAGACAGAGAGAGTCGGTCCACACGCCCCCTGAGCACTGGTGACTGTGTGTAGGAGAACGAGAAAATCAGAATAAACACGGCAGTGGGGATGTTTTTCAGAATAGTCAGAGTGGTCATACCATTCAAACCACCTAGCTTCCTTTATGAACCTTTCACGGTCATCTTTTTAATGACTTCTTTCCATATTAAGAGTAAACGTTTTCTCTCCAGGCTTAAAGCAAGAGAAAAATATTGAACGGAGTTCTAGATGATCAATCTTCTCCCACGAGATCGGGGTCAATGGCTAAAACCTCCCTTCCTCGATTTCATGTGGACATCATCACCATGACACCCCCCCAGCAGAGGGTGGTGTGTCCCCCGGCCCCGCCCCCACGTACCGTGAGATGGCGACTGCAGCGTCCCCTTTCCTCAGCCCTTTCACCGCAGCGTATGCGTCCAGATGCTCCCTCACCGTCAGGCTGGGCCACAGCGCGTTCTCCTGAGGACAGTACCCCAGGAACCCCACGGTGTCCCCTCCGCCGCTCCCTTTCAAAATCACCTACACGAAATAAGTTCATTCTCAGATTCTCTCCAAAGTCTTGTGTGTATGTTCGTGCGTGTAAGTGTATGTTTCAGTGATGTCTTCTTCACACACACAGGTACTAAGTGTACAAAAGCAAATAACCAATCGCTTAGCTCAGGGGAAAAGATGGTAAAAACTCAGTAATTTAAAAGGCAGATATTCCATTACAGCTTAGACTTTATTACCAATTCCATCACTGTGGTTGAATTCCAGGTTGCTTGTTTGATTGTCTGTTGTTTGACTTCCAGTCATTGATCCAAACATTCAAAGGAAGAGATACTTGTTGAGGATTCTGTTTTCCCAGTGATAAATAGTTGTAATTATAGGCTCTATTTTACAGTAAGGCAGTAGTTCTTAGTCAGGGACAATCCTCCACCCAGAGGATATTTAACAATGCCTGGAGACGTACTTGGTTGTCACGATTTGTGTGTGTGCACATTGGTGGGGAGAGTACTACTGGAATCTAGTGAGTAGAGGCCAGGGACAGTGCCAAACATCCTACAATACACAGGACAGCCCCCCACAACAAAAATTATCCAGCCCAAAATGTCATTAGTGCCAAGGTTGGTAAATCCTCAACTAACTATTAATAATAAAAAGGCTTTAGCACTATGTCTGGCCCATAGGAACCAATAAAACATGATAGCATTTATTATTTTTATGAGCCAGGCACTGGGCTATATAATAATAATAACTAAGGTATATTCAATGTTTGCTGTGTGCCAGAATATAAGCATTTTATGGATTTTGGTTATATTATCCTATCTTTACAAAAGCCCTATGTGTGTTAGATGTTTGTTTTATCACTGATGTTTTACACATGAGAAAACTAATGCATGCATGGATTAGGAAACTTGCACAAGGTCACAGATAGTAAACCTGGGACTTGAAACTGGGATCGACCTTCAGAATCCAAGCCCATGACCTGGATGCTATATGGTCTCCCCCAATACAAAGAAGGAGAGATCTAGTTACCCTTGCCTCATAGAGCTTGGATTCTGGAGAGAGAAACAGAAAATAAACAAGTAAATATGTAAGAAAACTGATTATAGCCTCTGCCTCATGCATTCAAGGAAATAGATGTGCTAAACAATAATAGAGAGAATTTAATTTAGCTAATAGTATATCAGGAAAAGTTTTGGGGGGAGGTAAATGCTGCAGTGATGAGGAGATGACAGAGTGTATGAAGAGGTGAGGGAAGTGCACTCCAGCTACGGGAAGAGCAAACCCAGAGGTCCTACAGCGAGAAGGTGACCTGAGGCCAACAGAGCAGGGGAGGAGGGGTGTGGAAGGTGGTGGACATGGCCCACGTCAGGCAGGTTCTGTTGCAGCCATGGTGAAGATTTTGGATCAACTGTTAGAGAGAGGTTGTGAGTGGGAGGGTGACAGGACCTCATTTGCATCTTTTAAGGATGGCTCTGGCTCCTGCTATGTGAGGCGAGGGTGGAAATGGAAAGAAGATTGAGGAGACCTCTGCAGCCGTCAACACCACCGTGTGACCTTCCTTCCTGGACACTCCCCTGACGTTGACGTCATGCCAATGGACAGCAGCATTTTCCCTTCAAAGGGAGTCCCATCCTTTGACTTCTGTCCATCATTTTACCCAGGTTGGCCTAGCCCTAGACACACCACCAAATGGTATTCATATATTATTCTACGTTCTGCTTTGAAATTTAGGCAATTATTTTGTCTCTTACTTCTGATCACTATTATCTTAATAAATCCTGGATCTTTTATCACTAAGCCAGCATCACTGTTTTGCTTTGAGAACTTCAGTGTATCTGCAATAATACTTTCTGCTGCTCTGTCATTCCATGACATCAGTTGAGCCAGGATATATCTCAATAATCGTAAGAAAGTTTCTATTGTATATACTCTGTGTAAAGACCTATGATGTTTTACCTGCTCATGGACTCTTATCGTTACCCAAGTGACATATACTCTTTAATTACAGCATATAGCTAGAGAGCAGTTATCAAATATGAAGATTCATGACTCTGCAACCACATAAGCGGTGTTTGTCATTATTCTGACAGTGGTTTCTGGTGTGATGCTAGCTGAGGCTACTCAATTCAACAATTTCTTGGGACACATAAGTCAACAAAGCAAAGATCTATGACCTCAAGGAATTTATATTTCCTTTTAATGAATCTATTTTCACTCAATAAAGAGCATAATATAGATTATATGCAGCCCTTCTTAGCACCTAGCTTTTTTTGGAATTAAGGAGAGAAATTTTTAGTCAATGCTCTTCATTCAATGCATAAATCCCACTAATTGATTAAGGATTATCTACATAGTTTTAAGATTGCCATCAGTATTCATGGTGTAATGTTTGTTCTAGGCAGCACCAATGACCATATTTCTGTGTTTCACTGACCTGCCCTGCAGTTGGTTTTGTGTCTCCACATATCATCTTAATCATTGTACTTTTACCAGCTCCATTGTGTCCTAACAGCCCTACAACTTCACCTGAAAGAAAGAGGCATGCTCAGAAATATACAAACAATTACAATAAAAATAAAAGCAAATACCATTTGAGGATTCACTGTGCGTCAAGCACTACGTGAAATGTGCTGTGTACGTTAATTCACTTATTCTTCACATACACACACACACACACACACACACACACACACACAGACACACACACCCCTGAGCGTCATTACTAGCTTCATTTTACAGGTGAGGAAGCTAAGTCTTAAAGAGGCAGCCAGTAAGAGGCTGAGCTGGAATTTGAAACAAATATTTATTTCAAAGCCTGGTGCACGTAACCAACACTTCGCAAAATGTGCTATTTGTTAGGAATGAAGAATGCATTACTGTGTCTCAGTTTTTCCCTCTTTGTAGTACTCTCTGTCATGAAATTAATTGTTACTTAAAAATGTATATGGTATTTCTTAACAGAAAGACTTCCTCTTTTGTTATTTTGTTTGTTTTAACAGAACAGACATAGCTGTCTTCCTATGCAAAGAAAACCTCTGTTACAATTATAACTTAGGCTTTCAAGTAGGAAGGAGCAGCCTTAGCCTGCTGATGAGTTTGTCAATAGATGGCCCCAGATTCAGAGACTCTTATTCCCTTGGAAAGACCCAGCCTTCAGAGTCGAGATTACTCAGCTTACAGACCTACTGTTTCCAACCTTTTTTAACAGAGAAAGAGACATTTCTTGTGGCGATTTTTTTCTTCCTTTTGGAAAAGCATTTTTTCTTCTTGCCTGCATATTCCTTCCGTAGACAGCTGGCAATGATGACTGGTTTCTGTAAAGACAAGTAAATAATAGTGGGACTTCATTCTCACCTTGAGTTGAGAGAGTGCTCCACACGCGCTCCTCACCAGACCTCTCCCTGTGCAAAATCAGAAATCAAACTAGTTCTTTCCCCAGAAACTGCGATTTTTCAAGAAAACTCTCCCAGTCTATCTTCCTGCAGGGAAAGGGCATTTGCACCACATTGTGTGATTTGTGCTGGCCCTTATTCAGCGAGCAGGAACAGAGACGTTCACTGAAACAATAGATTTGTTAAGACACATACTCACATAAACATACTCACAAACACACCTACACCTCAAACGAGCTCTCTCTGAGTTGCCTGCAGTAAGCTTCACTTGGGTATAAAACTCACCAAATCTCACTTAGGTGTTGTAATGTTTAGCTGTACTTATCAAAGCTGACCCTGCACAATAAATTAACGCGTGTGTGTGTGTGTGCACACGCATGTATTTCCTTTGCCCTCTTGGCTTTGTGGGCAGTGTGCATACTCACTGAAGTCAAGTAATGAGCTATATGTGTAAAAATGAAAGAACTTCAAGTGTGTTTCAAAAATTAAGATTAGGAAGTTGCCCACTTTATCTGTCAGAAAAAAAATATTTGATGAACATTTTTGGAACTTCTACCTCATCCGTGTCGGTGACGGTCACAGCATTCGCTGTTCTCATCCTTTCCATCTGAACATCTTCATCCTCCCCTTCAGGCTCTTCTGGGTTTGGAAAAACAACGTTGCTTCTTGGAGAAATTCTAAAATCAAAACAGCATGGTAATGACAAGCTTCAGGTGGAAAAACTTGTAGCAAAAATAATGGATTTTCTATATACTGTTACCAATTATTTGAATAGATTCA